CGAGTTGACCATCAGTTATGGCGACCCTTTCCAGGGTTTTCTAGGTAAAGAAGAGTACTCAGAAGCGGTTTACCACTTCCTTCATCTGGGGGCGCTCTGGGACTGTGCAGGTTGCCCATGGGTGCCCGGGAGGCAGCGCGGGGAATTGCACTCCCAACTAGATCCCAAACTCACAGAGCCCGGACCAAATTTGAATCTCCCTATGGGGGCGCCATTTACAAACATACTGTGCACGTGCTTACAATGCACTTCCAGGCTTTCCTTCCAGGATGCATTCGGGATTACATTGGCTACTTCTTGATATGGTCCTGTCGTAAATCCTACTGAGTTTAATGGAATTTGTTCGAAACCCCAACATGAGCATTAAAAGAGCCCTGTTAGATCAAAGCAATTCCCATTTACAGAGTGGACCTATTAACGTTTACTCAGAAGTAAACCCTGCTATGTTCGACGGGCTCTACTCACAAGGATACAAGTGCACACAGAATTGCATTCTTGCACCTCAATCCATACATGCTTTCTTGAAAGTTAAGTCCCATTGAGGTTCATTGGCTCACCTTACTCCTAATTAAACGTACATAGCTGGTTCAGGTGGAAATTCGATATACACTCAAGAGGTGTATATCGAACCCATGAACTGGGTTAGGGATTGTTTTTACATAGAAGTGTGTAGAACTGCATCGTTCTCAAAAGCAGCCACCCCGGAAATCTCTGGAAGCTCAGCAGCCTCCAGAACGCGAGACTCTTGTTCTATGTTCCCAGCAGCGATGGACTGCCTTTGAATAGGGAGGCTCTATTTTCCCGTCTCGCCTAGTCGCTTCCGTTCGATTTGTCCAATGCACTTTTCAAAGTCATCCGGTGACCACACCATCTCCCGCGTGGGCGAGAATTCCGTGGGTAGATGGTTTCTACGCGCGCTCTTAAGTATCACTTCCTTTTCTTCTTTCTGCTACTGACGATCGATACATCCCATCGAGTGATCCCGAGTTACCGGAGACGGAAAAACGCCTCTGCCGGCTGCAGTCCTTGCACAGGCAGGATCGGGACTACAGTTCTTTCCCCTCCTTAAGCGGCGGGCGATGATGTCGTCCCTCCCCTCCCTCCCTTGCCAGCTGCTACCATCTTTCATGAACAAAGTTATCCCCCCACATTGACTGAATTCACCTAATTTTTATCTTTCCTTCTTTTTTTAAAAAAAGAAACATCCATGAGAAAACTCATTTAAAAAAAAAAAAATCAACTCCCTAACCTGGAATTTAACTTTCTTTCTAAGAGTACTTAGTCATGTGTCAGAAACCTCGCTCTTTCTCTCCACCGTTTATCAACTTTAAAGAATGTTCCCAGCTGGAGATGCAGCTGTGATGGGGGGAAAATGAACTTTCAAATAAAATTTAAGGAATACAAATAATACCCCGTCCCCCAAGTAAGGTCCTTCATCACTTTTGAATTGATTCCAGAAAATTAGAGCACGTCGCTATGGATAGAGAGGTGAAACGTGTTTAAGCCTGCTTGGATCGTGGCCAGAGTACCCTTTCTTTCCACCAAAGGAAAAAGCTCTTTAGAAAATAGTCGGTTCCCAGATTTAGACAATAGACTTCACCCCACAATCGTCACAGGAAATCAGTGTCTTTGGTGTCTTGGAGGTAGTTTAAAGAAATTACGGTCTCCACATTAAAGATAAGAACGATTTAGGAAATGTAAAACGATTCTTAAAATACCAGGGACACGGGTATCCATTGATCTCACTGGGACTTAGCGTGATTCTAAACATGTTTATGCAGCAATGAATTGCACCGATTTCAGAGGACTGGCTCCTTAACCGGAGTGGACAGAGTTGTAGAATTTAGCATTAAACCAGGTCGCCTTAAAAGTGCTTAATGTTGAGTAGTGCTAGCTTCTTTTTCTTTTCTTTTCCTGAACGATGGGATATTTATCAGAAAAGCGATTTAAACAATCACGTCAGCCCACAGATGGTATACGGGAGGGGAAAGACTTTCCCCACACATGCCTGTCTGAAGCGCCTCCCTGGGAGGAGTTAGAAAGAATGATCTACTGCATGCAATAGCACGCCTAGGAAAAAGACCTCCGTTTGCAAAAGAGTTCATCTTCCTTGGTCTCTTTTCACAGGAACTTCTGCTGCCCCAGTCCTCATTTTGTAATTCTATTTTACGTGTCGCTTTGGGAATAAAAGAGTGTGTGGAAAGAGAGACGGTGGGTCTCAAACTTTCAGCAAGAAGCAGCGGCTTTCAGCGCCCGAGGAACAAAGAGGGCGCCTTCTCCCGGTCATCCACGGAAGTTCCAGTTCGCGCACTTGGGCTCGCTCCGTTCACACTCCGCGTTTTTTCCGCCTGGCGCAAAAGCCAAACTCTTCCGCCAGCGATCTCGGTTCTGGGCGCTCCGTTGTGGGCGGAGAAAGCTCGGTGGTCCCTCCCTGGAAGGCCCCCTTCGCCCTTCCACGGCTGCTTTGGAGCCTGGGCTGACCCGCGGACTCGCTCCGTGGGAAGGGAGGGCAGCTGAACCTCCATGATGAGCGCCAGGCGTCCTGCGTGGGGAAGGCGAAGGGGCAGAAGTCCTTCCGCGGCCCAGGGTATGCGCGCGCGTGTGTTTGCGGGATGGTGAACAGAGTGGCCATCGGCCCAGAAAGGGCTAAGAAGCTAGAGGGAGGCAGACGAGCGGAGGGCTCGTAGCAAAGTGCCTCCGTGGCGCCCCCCTCTGGCCGATCTGGATTCCAACCAGCGCCGTGGGGACCTGGGGGGGAGAGGGGGGGCATTCAAGCAGCGGGGAGTCCGGCTGAGCAAAGGGATCAGAGCCGTTCGGGAGCCGGAGGCTTATTTGGTGATTTGCGGGACGACACCCCTCGGGCGGCACTGCCCGATTCACGATCCTCTCCCTCTGCGCCCCCCCGTGCCCCATCCCCGTCCCCAGCCGCCTGCCCGTAGCTCAACACCACCACCACGACGCCTCCTAACGCTAGAGAGCAGCGCATCGCCAGCTTTGCGCGTGGCCCCTTGGCAATCACGAGCGTGAGTGGGGCGTGGCGTAGAAAGAAACGAAGAGGATTGGCTCAGCAGGTCAATGCCCCGCCCCCCTAAACTCTGGTCGCCGATTGGGTCCGCTAGTTCTACGGATGAGGCCACACCCATTTCGTCAACTCTAGGAACGTTCGCTTTAGTAAGGAGGTGGTAGCGTTTGGAAGTAACAAGTTACGAATAACTGCACGAATGGAATTAACTCTTTCGCCTAATAAATAAGCAATGACTGCCTTACATCTCCATTGCAGTTTTATCACCACGAGGAGCAGCTTCTGGACTGAGCAGAAGCATGACTCCCCTGGCTGATTCGAGTTGAGACCTTGCTCTGCTCAGTCCAGAAACACCCATGCTGATAACGTAATTCCTTTTGCTGTGTAACTGCAACTTTGCAATGACTTTTAAAGTTAAGAGGCGAATGCCTCTTTTACATAGCGGAAAAGGAAATTTATGGGTGTTGAGGAGGCATTAGTATGAATGGGAGGAATATATGTTTTATCATTTCACCAGTGCCTTGTAATGCTGATTCCCCCCCCTCCCCAGACGAATAGCAGGAGCTGTTTTAGTCACTTACAAGGACCAGAAGATAATAACATTTAAAAAGCTATAATTATTGTCATAACTACATATTTCTGTGGGTTTGAAACTTTATAGCATGCAATTCTGAATATTGGCAGGTGTGTGTTTGTGTTATGTATAGGAAGATACAGTAATTAAACAGCCTGATGTTTGGTAAACTTATGCGAAGTCTCATACAGGTTGTAGTTTCCAGCTTTTAATCACAGTATGGCCATTCAAAAAAAAAAAAGGTAAGTGGTACAAGGTTTTGTTAATTTGTTATTCAAATACTTTATGATCTGTTTATAATTTGATTATTTTCTGTTATTCTACTGTGTTTTGTAAGTCACTTTACTATGATTTTGACATCCAACTTCACCTTCTTACCATGAAAATGTTTTTAGGGCCACGGTCTTACCTTGAGTTACCAGCGATGAAATACCATTGAACTCAATGGGATTTATATCAAGGAGATATGTGCTCTGGGACATGGGGTCACGAAGAGTCGGACACAACTTAATGACTAAGCAACAACAAATACATTCCAGCAAATATATTTCCAACAAATATAGTTTCCCTAGGGAAGTTTGCATGGCATCCCAAATACTGTCTTACCGTCATCAGACTGAAACTTTTCTCTTTCTTAGGGCTTTAAAGTATTTCAGTGCCTCCAGTTAAATAAGGACCATTATTTTATGCTCAGCTTCACCTGGGTCACAAATGGATTAATCCCAAGGCCACCTCAGTACTCTCTCTTCACTCTTTTTCGTTTGCACCCAACTTCCTCTTCCTCCAGCCTAGCACTCATTCTGCCTGCAGCCATCTCCAGAGAGGTTAGAACCTCCCTAGTCTTTATCACTGCAGTTGCTTCTTCTGTTTCCCTTCTGTCATCTCCCTTCTTCCTCTCTTTTTATTTTCTCATTATTTTTTTTTCTTTCCCTCTCCTAAAGATGCTGCCCACTTTTGCTGGGTACCAGGGCTTTCTCCATCTCAGGATTGTCATATTCTACTATCCCAGAACCAAGCAGTGACATTGGCATATTATGCAAATTTGTGTTGATTATGCAAATCACATAGTGGGTTGTGCAAGGATTAATCTATTACTGCTAAAAAAACACTCACTTCAAAATTGCGTGCTAAAAAAGCAAGAGGTCGGTTTTCCTTGTGTATACTAAAGGGATGCGCAGGCCCTGACTAGTAATGCTTTGTGCATCTTCACAATCCCTTTGCTTTGCCATTCTAACAGTTCTCAGGCCTTTACCAGCTGCAGGAGATGATGACATGTAGCATCTTCTGCATTGGAATTTCCAGAAAGTTTGCGCTCTTGCATTGCTTCCCCACTACTAGAATGTGGAAACAGATTAACCAACAAAATAATGCAAAAAGGATAAAATTCTTTATTTCTAAAAAGTACACTTAGAGTACAATGGTTCTAAACACGTTTATGCGCAAGTAATGCAGTCTCAGTGGTAGCCATAATTTCACTCATGATCTTGGTCACTGAAAGGGAGCATCAGGTTCATTTCTAAGAAACTTGGGTTGTTATATTTCAGCTTCTAACTATGTTGGAGACATCACGTATATCTATGCTTCACCGTTAGATCAGTTTCATAATGCTTTAACTGACAGAGCCTTATCCCAAGGAATGCTGGGATTTGTAGGTGATGTATTTAAAATTCTCTCCTGAAGAGACTACACCCTGGAACCGCAGTGCTCTGCCAGTCTGCTCTGTCATGTTACCTTCCAAGTACCTCACCAACCTCCACATCTCAGGATTCCTTAAAGAGGTTCAAACGATATGGAATGGTTACAATTGTACCACACACATACCTTCATGCTTGTCTTAAAAAGCTAGGTCAGCTAACACAGCAAACAGGCACCAGGTAGCAGAATTACAATTCATGTAGAGCCAGTCATCTTAGCAACATGAGTGGTGTGCCTTTCACTCTCTTTCCTACATTTATTCCTCCCTCTGCCTCTTTTTCTAGGACCCATTCAGCTTTTTCCTCTCTTCACACACCTTCCACTATTTTTCAAGCAGCCAAAATTCATATTCCAACCTTAGAGAGATACACATGGCGTCAAAAATAGACAAGGTCTACCAGCAGTCACATTACAGGGGAATGGGAGCTAATCTATGCTGTTCCAACCATGAGAAAAGCCAGGAGTGATTGGTTAAATATCATATTGTGCCACAGATGTTAAGCTGCAGTACTGCAACCAAAACTCTGCTCATGCATGGCCCAGGTTCAATCCCAGGTAGCCAGTTTGAAATTCATTCAGCCTTCCATCTTTCTGAGGTTGCTAAATTGAATACCTGACTTGCTGGGGGTGTGGGGGCAATGTGGAGCCTGCATAATAAAATTGTAAACTCCCCAGGCAGTGCATTAAGCACTACGGGGTGGTATTCAAAAAGCTCATTTTGCTTTTTAAAAAAATGCTTTATAAATAGCCAACACCATCAGCAATTCTATATAAATATTTCCTGCTTTTGAGAAGACCTCTGCTCCTGCAGAATCTTCTTACTTCTAAGGAGACTCCTTTCCTCTAAGAAGATTGCTTTCTGTTGCTTTAGTAACTTAACCAGTGATACTATAAGCTGCAGATAGATTTTGAGGAATTAAAACCAACTGATGTGCTGTTCAGAATAAACAGACACCTAAGGATCCCTTTAATGCTACGTTTCAGGTATCTTGGTTTCCTGGACTTGGACCTGTGGCAGAAACAGACATCTTATTATTATGTTGTAGTTTTTCAGCTTTTTAACTTTTATAATTGTATTAGCTTTCAAAATCTTTATTTATATGAGTATGCTAGAATTTTTAAATGTGTTGGATATGTATTATAGCTTTGCTGTATTATTATTGTTGATTTTACCTGTACTGTACAGTGCCCAATTTTTCTTTATGAGGTATTTAATAAATGTTATAATAAAACAGATCAACCCTGTAATGGGTGTCTCTCAAATAAGTGATATTTTAGTTTATTTTGGCCACCCTCATCCAAATTAAAAAGGGAAACACGTTTAATTCTTCTCTCCCCAGAGTTTCCAGTGTTTGTGTAACAATACCTCCTTACTAGCGGACAGCACAATTTATGTCTGTATTATTGTACTGGATGCGCCTACCGCGACAGGTAATTTTATTGTGTTTCCCCGTTTTCATAGAACTTTTTCGCAGCTATGGTTCCCAGAACATTCCAGCCAAGATAACTTGTAGTCCAGAAAAGTAACTTCCACCATCTCTGCCCAGAGGAAATAACATTTGTATTAATTAACTAATTAATTTATTGCAGCACATTTGCTGGTGCACTAATACTGTATGCTCTGGCACAAAGTCTGGAAATAATGATAATTATTCTTATTTACTGTGTTCTACAAACATTATCAGAGTGACTACAAAGTTCTGCCTAAAGAACAATAACAAAATACAATGCAATCAATAACAGAATCAAATATAGTATTGAATACACAAAGTACAATTACAACATTAATGCAATAATTGTGACTGTGTGTTATGTGCTGTCAAGTTACTTCTAATTTTTGGTGGCTCTACTAGAGCTCTTTAAATTTGTGAGACATTTAAAAAATGGTTTGTCATTGCCACCCCTTGGTGAGTTCCTATGACAGCAGAGGGATTTGAACACAGGCCTCCTATTTCCCAGTCTGATAATCTAGCCACTACACTAGGGATGTACATGATGAACATTTTCATATTTATGCCATTAGCCTTTATTCCCCCCTCCCTTTCCATACCTGTAGCTTGAGCATCCCACAGAATTTTACATCACTTACTGTACTACTCTTTGTTAGTATGGCTCTTATACTGTTCTCTACATTACATAATTACAACACTCTGATTCCACTTCAACAGCCATGGCCTTGTCCTATGGAGTTGGGTGATTTGTAGTTTGTTAAATGACATAAAATTTGCTGCGAAAACGTGCTAGAGCCCACACTGATCTAAAGCAGAGAATTCCAAGGACCTGAAATATCAAGATTCCATTGGTGGAAACCATGGCAGTTGATCTGTAGTCAAAGTATTGTATTTGTGCAGTATGGATAAGCTCTATGAATACACGTGGTTACTATTGGTATTTTTCTGTATATCGAGACTGACATTTTGTTCCTTCACATTTTCCAGGCTCATTCATGATGTATTTAGAACCACTAGCTCTGCTATGTAGCACACTTTATTCTTGGCCTTAGAAGAAAAACAATGTTTTCCTGACAGTACCTCAGTCGTGGATCTCCATAATATTAAAAAGGGATGTTATAGACTTAACATCTATGTTATAGATGTGGTGGCACTGTGGGTTAAACCACAGAAGCCTCTGTGCTGCAAGGTCAGAAGACCAAGGAGTCGTAAGATCGAATTCATGCGACGGAGTGAGCTCCCGTCGCTTGTTCCTGCTCCTGCCAACCTAGCAGTTCAAAAGCATGTAAATATGAGTTGATAAATAGGTACTACCTCATTGGGAAGGTAACAGCATTCCGTGTCTAGTTGTGCTGGCCACGTGATCACGGAAACTGTCTACGGACAAAACGCTCAATCTATGGCTTGGAAACGGAGATGAGCACTGCGCCTTAGAGTCGGACATGACTGGACTAAATGTTAAGGGCATCCTTTACCTTTACCTATGAGAACAAGAAGAGTACAGTCTATGGACCCTTTTGACCACAAGCAGCAGGAATGTCCAGAGTTCATACTGACTGTAGTTCCTTGTGCTAAATGGAGATTGGATTATGAGGTTAAATACATCAGTAGCAGGAGCCTCTTTAATTTTCTTTTTCAAGATAGCTCTATTGCTGGCTGTTTGGTTTGCTTGTCTTTGCAATCCACCCACTTAGAGTAACTAGTGAGGGACTACAGGAGCTGCAGACCAAACAATGGTGGAAAAGACAGCTCTCAGTTCCTGCCATAGCTCAGAAACATGCATAGGACTGCAGCCTTAAGGAACATTACATGATCCACACGGTTGGTGACTGAATTCAAGTGTGTTGTTGAAAAAGAGTGAGAAGCAGATAAATGACTGGCTATGGACATTATGTGTCCTTCCAGTTCATAATGATAGGATATAAACTTTATTATGACCATAAATCAGCCATTTTAGGTGCACAAGATTAAAATGCAGCAGAACATACAATATTTACAGTCAAATCAAACCAGACCAAAATTCAAATTACTGTTAAGTGTAAAACCTTAATCTAGTCAGTGGAGTGATTTAGTCATCTGTTTCCTTATTGTACACACCACTGCACAAAATTTTGCAACCTTTGCTGTGGTTTCCCTTGAGAAGTCAGAGAGAAGAGAAATATAACATTTGTCGGATCTGTTCTACTTGGATAATGTTTTAAAAATGGGGAAATGAGTAAATTGTGGAAGCCCTTATAAAATGCAGAATACAACAGGATACGTTCCATAGTTTTCACTATGCAAATTGGTTCAAATCATGATGAACAAATGTATAATTCATAGTTCATAGTGTGTTCAAATGAAGGTAAATAAACAATCCTTGCTACTGCCAAATATTTGAAAAAGACATAACAAGTTTAATGAAAAGATCCTAAGAGATAATCAAATACTAGAAGAGTTGCTCCCATTTTGTAAGCATAAAAGTATGGAATGAAAGCTGTACAGGTAACTATGCCTATTTTATCTGCTTCTGGCAAAGTATGGCCTAGAACAAATGTGACTAAACAAACAGCTGCAAAAGAAGGAAAGCTGATACAGTATATGGTTTTCATCTTCCTTGGCATGGAGTTTCAGTAATGGAGACTGCTTCACAGGTTAAATCCTACCTGGTGTGTGAAGTGTCACCACAGAGAAATGACCATTTCATACTGTGAAATATCTCACAAGGCTAATATGGTGGCTTTACATCTTCATTAGATTTTTTGGGGGTAAACTTTCCTTTAAAACAGTGATAGTATGATATGATTTCCAAGAACTTCTATCTGAGTTACATGAAAATATGCAACATAAACAATCTTTCAGATATTAGTGTTTATAATAGGATTATATTCCAGCAAATACAGCCCCTCATAAAATAGTAGGTAATAAAATGCATATTGTTTACTCTTACCAGAAAAAGAAAAAACAACTACTGTGTGAAGTATTGAAGTATGCCTGACTTCTAAACAGTGCAGAAGAATGGAAAAGAGAATCAAAACATTGATTCTTGGGTTGTTGTTGTTTATTTAATCTTCTGCAGTTGATTTGCTGAAATTAATAATTAAAGCACACATGGAATTGTTATTGTTTTCTCACAGAGAGCGAGACAAGAGAAAGAAAAGACATAGGGAAATATGGAAAAACTGAAATCTTCCATCTCCTTAAACTAATCGCAATGATTGGCTCACTTTCTTTTGTCTCCCCCACATATCTGCCACTTCTTCCCTGCTATCTTTGTCTTCTTTCCCCCCTCTGCCATCTCCATCACTTCTTTCTCACCTCAAAGCACCTCTGTTGCTTCTTCCTCCTCCACCACCACCTCTGCTTCTCCCCCTTTCCCATCACCTCCTGGACATCTCTGCCTCTCTTCTCTACTTCCTCCTCTTTCTCTCCTCCTAACTCTCAAGCACCTCCACCACTGTTCTCTATTTCATCCTCCCCACTTCCTCTGCTACTTATCCAGTCTCTTCCACATTTCCAATAATGCCTCTGTAGAGTGAAGCACAAGTAAACTGCTCTCTGCAAGCTACTGTCCAATTGCTGGCCTCTGAAGACCTTCAATATAAATAAATAAATAAATAAGTAAATAAATAAATAAATAAATAAATAAATAAATAAATGACCTTTGCCATGTGGAAACACTTGTATAGGAATCTCCCTGCCCTTGTACTGGCCTTTGATTTTGAAGCCAATACAGGCAATAAAGCTGGAGCATCCCTTGGCAGCATGTGCATTGTTCCACACTTCCAGAAAGAAGAGACAATTTTTTTATTGCCGCTCATGCCTCCTTGCAGTTGCCGGTAGTTGTCGTTGTAGTTGTTGGGGAGAACAAGGGAGCCACTGTCTGAGCATTGTTTCTCGCCTGTTCTTTGCTCTCCTCCTACCCTTGCTTGTGGTTGCAAGGGTGTTGGAGGGGCAGTGTGAAGGGCTGGCGGCTTGCCTAGTCTTCTCTTTTGTAAGAAATCAGGGGTCTCCAGTCAGGGAGAGCAACGTTGGAAGCAAGGCCCAGGTCCCTTACATGCTGCTTTAGCTTACCAGAGGAGGGAGCAGCTGGCATGTGCCCGCTGCACAGCAGCACCACCACAGGTAATGGTCAAATGGCATCATTGCAGGGACTTGTTAGACAAGGTCTCATGTCACAAGGGGCTGCAGGGGTTCCATATAGCCTTTTCACAGTTTATGGTTCTAGTCTGGCTCGTAATTTCCTGAATCATTTATTCTCAGAGCACCTAGTTGATGACCTACCTGCTTTCCAGCCTGCCTGTGTAACTGTCTGCCTCTTCCCCAGATGCACTATGCACTCAGTGTGTGCCTTCTTGCTACCTGCTGATGGTACCATATGCACTCAGTGTGTGCCTTCTTGCTACCTTCTACCAGCTGCTGATGGTACCAAACATAGCAATGAATTGAGTTTTGAATTCTGGAATGGGTGGTTCTTTCATTAATACTGCTTTGCTCTGAATTGTGCTCCATGCTGGAGAACAATGTCCTTCTCCCTTCTCCTCTGGTGAAGTCACTCAGTTTTGGTCACAGCAGTGGCAAAGGCAAAGGGGGGGGGGAAGTTGCTGTGGCACTGATCTAACTTTTAAATCCCAAGGAAGAAGAGAAACTGGAGCAGTGGACCGGAAAGCTGAGTAGTGGTGGCAGAAACAGAAGTGAGTTTGAAAGAGACAGAAGAACAAGCCTCCTGTCCATCATAGCTCTGCCTCCATCAACATCTGCCAATGCAGCCACAGTCCGGAAAAAAGAGGAACAGAGAGATTCAGAACCCATTATACTCCCAGTTCGACCCTCATAGGAGTATGACTAAATTTATTTGTTGGTCTGACTACATTATGGTTTCTCTCCCATTTTGTCCCATGTTGAGATAGCTAAGTTTGATGTATTTTCTGGCAACTACATGATGTAAAGCTAATCACAAACCAGCCAAAGGTGTTTTTTTTTTTAAAGCGACTGGGAACTCATTGTTTCACCTTGGTTTTCAGCATGTGTGATCACACATGTACCATTTCAAACCAGCAGGGTGGCACTGATGGTGAGAGAGGGGTGGAGCAAAGTGGTGTAGAGCATAACCAAATTCTCTTCTTCAGTTCACTCTGCTGCAGACTTCTTTAAAAATATATTTTTGGTCCAATTCAGCTCTGTGCCATTTTATTACATCAGCACTATGTCACTTACAAAAAAAGAGAGAGTATTAATAGGCTGGTCAACTTGAGACTCCAATTTGGGTAGTTTACTTTTAAGGGTTCAATTCTCATCCTTCCCTCCTCACCACATACACATGTGAATGAACTTAAGTATGTGCTGTCACCATCCTTCTTGTCTAATTCCTCCTTTCTCACTCTCCTCCTTTCTCACCTATCCTCTCTTTAGCATGAATTCCTCAGGACAGGTCTGCTCCCTGTCCAGTGTGGCTGGGAATGGGAAATCTTTCCCACTGATTTTGAGATGGGGAGGACAACTGCTGAGCACAGAGAAAAGAGAGAACGAATTAATGAATCTCTTTCCCCTTCTCCTCCCTGCCATCACACACACATTGCTACCCCTTTCTCTGCACCTTCTCTCAGCTCACTATTTAAAGGATAGTCTTGTCCTCAGTCTGGGACACTTTGTTGTTATTGTTTTCTCCCTACTTTGATGATACACCTATCAAAAGCACAAAATTGCAACTACCCCACCAACACCAAATGCATTTTGGACCCAACTCTGCCTTTGTATACCTCCACCCTGATTCAATACCAGTAACCCCCAATGCAGTCCCCTCAGTGTGTGGATGAGTGTTCAGCAAGCCCACCCACTCTGAACCCCTAACCAGTTCAATACCTCCCTATACTAAAACAGTGGGATCCCCTTTTGTGCACACCCTGACAGTTGAGAGATAACAGTGGGGAATGGAAGAAAGGATAGGGGAGTGGTGAGGAAGAAGGCAGTGTTAGTGATAACCATACTTTTGTGTTTGAATAGAAAGATGGAGTTAAAGGCCATAGGAAACAGATCACACCCAGAGAAGTGATCCCTTTCAAATTGATTTGGCCAAGGATGTCTTCTCTGTCTAGACATCTTTGGGTCAGATTTCAGACTCAAAATTATAGACTCGGTTTCCTGTAGTGCATGTAGTGGTGGTAGAAAGAGTTTCCTTCCCTATTAATTGTACTGGGGAGTAATTGGCGAAAGAAGATTTCCTGTCACTCCTGCCAGCCCTGGTGGAGCAAGACAGTGGCTAGAAAGCTGCCTGTGACACTGCTCATCAGAATAAAAGGGTACGTTCATATCCTGTCTTTCCCTCGATGGGCTCAAGGTGGCATATATGATTCTTCTCTCCCCCACCCCATTCATCTCCCTGTAAAATAGGTAAGGCTGAGAGAGTGTGATTGGCCCTGCACCATTCGATGAGTTTCATGGCCCAGTGGAGAGATGAAGCAACGATTGCTGAGTTCTAGGCCCAGCCTAATTTCTCTACCATGTTGCCACCATCTACATGGAGAATGCACTTTGTGCTTCAGGAATGAATTAGCCTGAAAAATGACCTCTGTTTACTCTCAGGAGATTTTGTTTTGGCTCCTATTTCTCTTCTGTTCCCCTCAATATGTCCCTTCAGTGCAAGGGACATATTGAGGAGTATATCTCAGAAAATGGCTGAAGTACATAATACTGAGCGGATAAGGGCCAAGGTAATTGAGTAATAGGCAGGGCTCAGAACATTACATTTAAATAGGAAATCACTGTATTTCTTAGAATTTCTCAGCAGCCAGGTTAGTTATTGCTATCATTGTTATTAAGTAAATAATTACATTGTGCATTATTCACATGTTGCATTGACCTTTCCAACAGAGCAAAGAACATAGGGGAAAATACTGTTTGGTTCCCTCTAGTGACCAATATTGATATTGTCCCTTGGAAATATTTTTAAGTGCCTTTGAAACCAACTAGGTCTTAACTAGGCCCTTTCACGGATTGCTGCCTTGTCGTGGCGAAGGGGCTTGAGTAACTCAGAGAAGCTATGGTCTGTGCTGTGCAGGGACACCCAAGACGGACAGGTCATAGTGGAGAGTTCTGACTAAACGCAATCCACCTGGAGTAGGAATTGGCAATGCCACTCCAGTATCTTTGCCAAGAATGCCCCATGATCAGAAACAAAAGGCTAAAAGATATGATGCTGGAAGATGGGACCCTCAGGTTGGAAGGTGTCCAACATGCTATTGAGGAAGAGCGGAGGACAAGTACAAGTAGTTTCAGAGCTAATGAAGTGGTTGGGCCAAAGCCGAAAGGACACTCAGCTGTGGACATGCCTGGAAGTGAAAGGAAAGTCTGAAGCTGCAAAGAAAAATGCTGCATAGGAATGTGGATGAGATGGTTGGACAGTGTCATTGAAGCTACCAGAATAAATTTGACACAACTCTGGGAGGCAGTGGAAGACAGGAGGGCCTGGCGTGCTCTGGTCCATGGGGTCACAAAGAGTCGGACACGACTAAATGACTAGACGATGAGGTCTTATCTAAGTACTCATTATGCTTTAGAAAGTAAATTTGCAACTATAAGAGCCTGGTTCTGATACACAGCTGTTAGGCACTTACTTGCCATCCTTTGCCATTCATGACCAGATGTTTGGGTTGTGATTTTAGATGGATAATATAATGCTTTTAATATAACACTGGCTGAGGATTTACTTATTTTAAAGATATACGATATTATTAATTGGAAAGAAGGAGTTGTTTTATTATGTTTTTAATGGAAAATTTATAATTCTGCTTAATTTTATGAAACTACAATTGTATGTATTTATTTTATATTGTTCTGGTCTTACTGGTCTTTGTCCGTAATAAAGTTACCATTATCATCCTTTGCCAAAACGTTCTCAAACATTGTTCAAAAATAACATCCGTTTCAGCCATCTTATCCTTTAGTCTGGGACTGTTCAGCCTTGTGTTTACACCCTTTCACACTTTAGGCATTTTAACCCGACTTCACACCTGTCTGCAATACCGGCCTATTGATCTGTCTACTTCGTTCTTGATTTTATCTTTCTATTGAATTCTGTACTACCCACAATTACATTTCTTCAGAGCATCACCTTCTTAAATGTCATGAATTAACCTCTGGTCACCTTCACAGGCCCAGTGGCCAATGAACATCAGCATGTCATCTTAAGCAAGAGATAGGAAAAGTTACTTTTTTTTGGATTACAGGATAGTGAATGGGATATTTTTGGAGGTGTAATCCAAACAAGGAATTGGATCCTCATCTCTAATCTTGGGTGAAAAGCTGCCACGTTCTACCACTGTATTTTTCTTCTTCTTCTGTAGGATACAAAAGGGGAAAGTGAGAATCACACCATCTGGTTTGTCCTTTCTCAATACCAATTGGATGTTTGTCCACAGATGGTTGGCACTGGGCCCATGATCCAATTAAATCAGCATTGTTGTTGCTGAGTCTTCTTGTTATTGGGAGTAGCAGTAAGAGTGATAGTAGTACTTGTTAATTACCGTATTTTTCGCACCATAAGACACACTTTTTCCCCACAAAACGGGGGGTGGTGGAAAGTCTGTGCGTCTTATGGAGCGAAGAAAACAGATTATATTTTCCTGTTTTCTTCTCCTAAAAAACTGGTGCGTCTTATGGAAAGGTGCGTCTTATGGAGCAAAAAATACGGTACTTTTCTGCTCCTCAGAACTCCAATTTGCTACCACCTGCTCTCTGCAGCTGTAAACAGTAATGAAACCTCCTATCTTGTCATCCAGTGCCCAGTCCCTTTATCTTTGCACCTCTTCAGTGTGGTAGAACCTCCTCCACGGGTCTCTTTGTCGTCGGGTGGGACACTAGCAGGCATCAGTCTCCAAACATGTGTTAAAAAATATAGCCCTTTGAAGGGGAATATGTGGAGAAGACAACTATTATTTTCACCAGTGTGAATCAAATTACTCAGTTGGAAAGGATTGCAGGTAATTGTGTACATGTTTGTACAACTGAAAATTAGGCACCCTCACTTAGAAACTTCTAGAAGTGACTTGCATTTGAGGCAATCTGAACTGCCTGGAAGAGTGGAGAGTTTTTAACAGGTCCAAGATGACTACCATGTAAAGCAATGGTCCCCAACCTTTTTGCCTCAACGGACTGATTTATTGTGTGGGGGGTGGCGGTGGGGGCATGTGTGCATGGAGAGGGCTCTGTGTGTGTGTGTGTGTGTGTGTGTGCATGTGTGCATGTGTGCATGCGTGTGCATGCGTAGGAAGGGCCATGTGTGCATGTGTGGGTGGGAGGAGCTGTATGTGCATTAGTGAGAGGGGCCATGCATGCATGGGAAAGACTGTGTGTGCATGCATGCATGGGAGGGGATGTGTGTCTGTGCATGTACACACACGCGCGCTTTATTGTTACAGCATCAAGCCATATACATAAAACAAAATTAAATGCAGAACTTCAAGTACTGACATTTATTGCAAAAAGCCAAATCAAATAAGCAAAAAGCAATAAAACTACAAATATAACAATGTAAGACCAATGTCTAAGTTTAGCTATCAGTTCTGGCTACTATGCCATGCTACCCAAAAATTTGCTACCAGTTCTGTAGTAGTCCAATTTTGATCAATTAACAGTTGGTTACAGTAGTCTGAGTCTGATTGGCTTGTCATGTCTTTTAGGAGAGGTGTAATATATTTTCCTTGAATCTTGTTAAGCACCATATGCTTAATTGATTCTATCTCACCAGATCCACAAGGGCAGTCTCTGTTCCCTTGGGATCTTTGTCCATGCATGCGTGGGAGGGGCCATGCATGCGTGGAAGGGGTGTGTATGCATCTGTGCATGCAGGGGAGCAGGAGATTTGTCTCCGTGGTCTGGCCCTGGCAAGGCCACAGACCAGGACTGGTCCATGGACCGGGAGTTGGGGACTCCTGATGTAAAGCACAGCAACTGTCCCAGGAAGATGATGTTGGGGAGTCAGAATCAACCATCACCACCAGACCTTCCCAACTTTTGAAAAAACAAAAATCACAAATCAGGTTTTTTGGTTCAGAAGTTCATGAAGTCTAGAACAGGTCCCCAGCCACTTAGAGACATCAAAATTTCAGAGAAGCTTCCCCTGACTCGCCTTTATACCCTCTCCAAATTTGGTGAAATTTGAT